CAGGAGAACAGAGGAGGGGGAGGAGCAGGCACCAGGGGAGCTGATGGAACAAGGGGAGGAGTCATGGCAGCAGAGAGAAAAGGCAAAGGTTTAAAAATATTTATTAATAACTTGGGTGCCACAGTGGCACATCCAAACAAGCCACATGAACTCAGTACTGGTGCACAACACAAAATTCATTCTGTTCGTGGGAGGAAATGCTTAGGCTGTGTCTACACTGGCGGTTTCTTGTACAAGGGTTCTTGTGCAAGAAGTCTTGCTCAAGAACTCGTCCACGCTGCCATGTGTGAGCTGTGCTTTTGCGCAAGAGCATCCATGGCAGTGTTGACGCCCTCTTGCGCAAGAAAGCTCCGATGGCCATTTTAGCCACAGGGGTTTCTTGCGCAAGAAATCCCTGCCGAGCAGCCATACTGCCCTCTTGTGCAAGAGAGCTCACACCTATTAAAAAAAAGCGCTCTTGCGCAAGATGCTCTCTCTTCCCACGCCGTACTGTAAATTTCCTTGCGCAAGAGCAGGCGGGCAGTGTGGCTGTTCTGTGGGTTCTTGTGCAAGAATGGCTGTACTTGCACAAGAAGCTGCGAGTGTAGACAGAGCCTTAGAGGGAACACTTCCCCCAGCTTTCTGCCCCCGAGTTAATGTCACACACGTTGGGTTAAGCAACTGCAGGATAGCTGCATGCAGGGGGGTTTGGTGGGGCCAAATTAATCCCTGTTGGTAGGAGGATGGTGGGAAAAGCCCTTCAAGAGGGGTGACATGACACCTTTTACTTCTGGTTATGTGTCCATCTAGTCCCGAGTGTTACCTCCAGAGGTGTGGTTAATGGGGGCGTGGCTAATGGGGCACCACCAAAAATTATACTAACCTGCCGCCCATAACCGCCCCATACAGCAGTTAGCCTCTGTTGGAAAACTGATGTTTGTGTCCAGCTATGCAAGATGTGGCATTGTTGGTGGCAACAGAAAAATGACTTCTCACAAGGGAGTGCATTCTTGCCAATGCTATTCAGTATCTACATGAATGATCAATCAATCCATTTCAGCATGGAGGTTGTGTCTGTGCTAACATAAGAACGGCCATACTGGGTCAGATCAAAGATCGGTCTAGCCCAGTATCCTGTCTAATGCCAGGTGCACCAGATAGCTATTGATGGACCTGTCCTCCATGAATTTATTAGTCTTGGCCCTCAAAACATCCTTTGGCAAGTAGTTCCAGAGGTTGACTATGCATTGTGGGAATAAATACTTCCTTTGGTTTCTTTTTAAACCTGCTGTCTATTTCATTTGATGACACTGTAATGGTTGTGTTATGTGAAGAAGTAAATAGCACTTCCTTATTTCCTTTCTCCACATCAGTCATGATTTTATAGACCTCAATCATGTCTCTATATGATTAGTTGTCTCCTTTCTAAAATGAAGTCCGAATCTTTCTTACCTCTCCTCGTACAGAAGCAGTTCCATATCCCTAATCATTTACGTTGCCCTTTACAACACCTTTTCCAATTTCAATATATCTTTCTAGAGATAGGGCATCTTCGTGCAATATTCAAGATGTAGGTGTACTCTGCCCATGGATTTATACAGAGGCAATATGATATTTTGTCTTATTCTCGATCCCTTTTTAAATGATACTCAACATTCTCTTAGGTTTTTTTACTGCTGCTGCACATTGGCTAGATGTTTTCAGAGAACTCTCCACAATGACTCCCAAGATCTTTCTTGAGTAGTTACAGCTGATTTAGACCCTATCATGTTATATGTGTAGTTGGGATTGTTTTCCACTGTACATCATTTTGCATTTATCAACTTTGACTTTAATCTGCCATTTTGTTGCCCCATCACCTGTTTTGTGAGATCCTTTTATAGTTCTTTGCAGTCTACCTGGAACTTACCTGTCTTGATGAGTGTTAATCATAGAATCCTAGGACTGGAAGGGGCCTCGAAAGGTCATCGCGTGCAGTCCCCTGCCCTCATGGCAGGACCAAATACTGTCTAGATCATTCCTGACAGACATTTATCTAACCTGCTCTTAAATCTCTCCAGAGATGGGGATTCCACAACCTCCCTTGGCAATTTATTCCAGTGTTTGACCACCCTGACAGTTGGGAACTTTTTCCTAATGTCCAACCTAAACCTCCCTTGCTGCAGTTTAAGCCCATTGCTTCTTGTTCTATCCTCAGAGGCCAAGATGAACAAGTTTTCTCCCTCCTCCTCATGACACCCTTTTAGATACCTGAAAACTGCAATCATGTCCTCTCTCAATCTTCTCTTTTCTAAACTAAACAAACCCAGTTCTATCAGCCTTCCTTCATATGCCATGTTCTCTAGACCTGTAATCATTCTTTTTGCTCTTCTCTGGACCCTCTCCAATTTCTCCACGTCTTTCTTGAAATGCGGTGCCCAGAGTGTTGTATCATTTGCAGATTTTACCATCTGTTTATCCTTTTTTCCCCAGATAATTTATGAATATATTAAATAGTACAGACCCCTAGGGACTGTTAACTGGTTTGTCCTTTAAGTCCAGAAAGTGGTTGGTCCTAGGAAGACCTGCCACCTAGTACTGGGATTCCATTTTGACCCTGGCATTTTTCCGTTGAAGGAAGGATATAAAACAAAAGGTTCCTGCACTGGGGGAAGTCTATGCAATAGGAAGCATTTGGCCCTTTGTCTCTGGCCTGGGGAACGGCCTGGCACAGTAGGATACAAACAGCACTGGAGACCCAAGTCAGAATAAAAGAGTTTCTCTGACTTGAAGATTATGGCTGACATAAGAACAGTTCTTTAGGGTAAGAATTTGTATGCAATAAGTTTTTTAGTGAATTAGAACTGGCTATGCATTTTCTATTAATTTAGTAACTTACTTTGATCTGTCTGTTTTCACTTGCAGCCACTTAAATCTTACTGTTTATACTAGGGATGTTAAATGGCAGCTTTTAATACGTTTAAAAAGCAGAGATGCAGCATCTGGGACTGGGCGCAAGTCAGGAATCAGTTGATTCCCGGCTTTTTACCATTCCCCCACTATGCCTCTGCCTTCCCTGCACCTCAAGATGTGCTGAAACCAGCTTTTAAGGTGGCTTAGATTTTGATCCCATTTGGGGGTTGGTTTCCTGGGTGCTGTGCTCTAGAACAGCATCCTCCCAGAGCTGCAGTGGTTCAGTGTCTGTATTAATTTGCAGGGAGGGTGGGTATCCCAGTACTTTGCCTTGTCTGGCAGAGATCAGAGGAGAGACTTATTTTGGAAATGAGAAGAAACAATGAATCGCAGCTCATCCCAAAATATTATTCTCAAAATGTGTGACTTTGAGTGTGCTTTTGTCCAGAGTTTTTATATTTAGCTTTAATGTTAGTTTCTACTGTTGACAATTCTAGATGTAACATTAGCAGCCATGGCTATTTTATTTTAACCCTACTACCCTTGTTCTGGATTGGCTCATGAATATTCATGAGATAATTTGAAGAGAATATGGTGATATACTTCAAATGCTTAAAGGTATCAGGGTGTGCCACAGCAGTGAAAAGGTTGGAATCTACAGTCTGAGGGTAACATGTCTGTATAGGGTTTCCTCCTGGAAACCCGTGCCAGAGAACTTACTGTACAAGCATGGAATGATGACCTGTAGGTATTAATGCTTTTTGCAGTTTGCTGCTTTCCATCAAAGGAGGTCACTGCACTTTCTCTAACACTGATTAGCCTTTGGACCCCATTGGGTGCTGAAAGGCCTCCAGCAGGGAGGTCAGGCTTTGTCCACCCTCCTCCACCCTCGGAGAAGTTTGGTCAGGGTATGTCCCCGAAATCAGTATCTGCAGCTGCTCTGGAGAAGAAATCCGCAGTTGGGATAAGTTAAGTGCAGAGAGGGGAAATGACTTGTCTAAGGTTCCCAGGAAGTTGTTGGCAGCACTGAGCTTGGAACCCTGCTCTCTTGGCTGCTAGCCTTAGGCTGCAGCCAGAGAAACACAGTGTTGTACTGAGACCCCTTGAAGTGTGGTGGTCCAGTCCTTATATCTGCAATCACTTTCTCCTGCAGCTTCCTTGAAATGATGGAAGCCCGAAGTCGTGGACATGCATCCCCAATGACAACTAATGGACAGAGCCCTTCCTCTGGCTCCCAGTCACCCATAGTACCTCCCAGCTGCACATCAACAGACAGTTCTAGTCCTGGTACCCCCCAGCCACCACCACCTCAGCAGCTTCCTGCCAACACAACAGCATCTCCTGAGCCTCCACCATCCTTGTCACCAATGCTTCTACTAGAGGCTCAGCCACCATACACATCACCCCCCGCCACAGCCTCCCCAGCAATGCCTGTTGCAGTCCCACTGCAGAAACGCAGCATTATCTCCCGCCTCTTTGGAACATCACCGGCACCAGAGACGTCTCCTTCCCAGCCAGGTAGGTGCAGATACAGAGATAATCTGGATTTTGCTGTCTGGTGGTGTGTACATGGGCATGCTTATAATATTGCCTTTCCCTTTTGTCTCTATTTCTTTGGTGTATTCCTTCTGTTCCCTGTTGGAGGCAGAGCAGACAGCCCTTGTGTCTTAGCAGTGCAAGGCTCGTGTTCAGTATAAATCAAAAGAGTACTACAGTTGCTTTGTTCTTTTCTTCTAGCTGCCTTACTTGATTTGCCTTGTTCCTCCAGCAGTGCTAATGCTAGTCTCTGAATGGGACTCCTTCCTGCAGCTTGCTGGCTGTAATGATGCACTTCAAGGCTTGGGGCAAAGGGGGGCAGATGTGGAAAGTAATAAAATGGTCACATTCTGAGTTAGAATGTTTCCTTCCCTCTGCTGGGCCTGTGCCACTCACAAAAAAAATCAACATGGTAATAGAAATCCGTGCAGCCACTACTTGTATGTAAGTAAGGCAGCTGCAAAACATAACAAAATAGCCTAATATTTGTTGTAAAGGGTTCCACCCTTCAGGTAAGCCCCCTTTGGTGGCTGAGTGGAGTCTTACAGTCTACTCACCTGTCTGTGGGCAAGGCAGCATCCAGTAAGTGGCCAGAGATCAGGCCTCTTCTCTCTCCCTCCCCCACCCAGGTGCGGCTTGCAGGGGGCTGAGGTGGACCCTGGTCCGCCCACTCCTCTAGGTCCCGGCCCAGGGACCCCACAAGTAGCAGGTACCTGCTGAGTTTCAAGTAATTAGTTGCTGTCACATCCCTGGGCCACTTCTCCAGGATGCTGTTCCATCCAGCCATTCTCTAGGGCCTTGTTTCTTGCGTTCCCCTTCTCCGGGGTTCTGCAGGGTTATCTTTGGCTTCTTGGCTAGCCTTCAGCCGCAGGACCTGTCTCTGACCAGGTACTTCCCCAGCTCCCACTCAGAGCTGCCCAGAGTGCTAGTGTTCCCCCAATCAGCACTGAGGTCTGCCTTGGTGAAGCTCCAGGAAGGAACTGACAGGCCCTGGCCTAGCAGCTCCTTTTATATCAGCCTGATGCACCCTGATTGGCTGCAGCAGAGGCTGCCCCTTGGTTCTGCTCAGAGGACCTCTCTACTGCTCCTGCTGCTGGCCAGAGTGCTGAAAGGTCTCCAGCAGAGAGGTCAGGCTTTGTTCACCCCATCACACTTGTATTCAAGGAACATGATCATTCAGCCAGAAATGTGAAATGCTCTCACAACTTCAACTCTGTGCTGGCTCAGTATCAGATAACCCTCTGGGGAAATATGCTCTAGCACAATTGGTACGTGGAGGAAAGGGGCCCATGGTTAGGTCTTACTGCTGTTAAACAGCAGAGCAAAGTATTACAAAGGTCATGGAGAACCAGTATCAGACAGAGTCCCAGTACGAAGGCATTAAGGGCTCTTCATTGCTTTCATTTCTACTGAGCAAGACCTTAATTTGCCCATCACATTCGCTTTGCTTACAAGGCTGACTGGAGCTCCCACAGCCTAGCGGTTATTAGCATGACATGGTTTTGAGTCATCCTTTGCTAAATAACCTCCTCCTTCAAACTGTCATTCTAAGGAGTTCATAAAGCTATCAAGACACCCACAGAAAGGAGGCGGCACTCAAAATGCATGCTTAAGTTTAGACAAAACACTGTTCAGTTTTAATTGTGTACATGTCCTATCTCCTGGATCAATTATGACAATACCCACCAATTTCAGTTTCATAACTCTTCTTACCTGAGCCAGTTCCCTGGAAGCAGGAAATAGGAAGAAGGAAGGAACGTTGGAAACTCCTGATTTGTAGGTCTTTTTATGCTTTGTCCGAAAAAGTGAAAATGCAAACTGGCCATATCTTGCTGTCCATCTGCTTCACAGTTTACACTGGAAGTAAAATCATGTGGAATTGAATGCAGAGAGGCATAGGGATCATTAGGAAAAGCAGATGCACACCAGTCTCAGAACTGTCACCTTTTATTCATTGTTTTGTCACACTTAATTTTCAGAAACCCACAGTGTGCTTTTATCAGATCTTCCAAAGAAAATTTGAGCTGTACATACAAATTCTGCAGCATCAATTTAAAAAAAGTTATTCCCTGTTGTTGATGGTGCTGTTGACCAAGCAAGAAAGCAAATAAAAAGCCATGTTAGGCTCTGCTCCGTTAGGAAAACTTGCACTAGGGCAATCAGGAAAAAGTCATTGTTCATCTTAAAGGATGCTGCAAATAAAAGTGGATATAGTTGCACATTTCATGTTTTTCTGTATCTGATTGAGCATTGCTTTTTTTTGCATTAAGAATTTGGGGTGAAGATGACTACAGGAGAAATTCAATGAATGCTCTACAGATAAGATCTATTAAAGTAACTGTAATGCCTTGTCTATGCTAACCCCCGCAGTTGATCTACTCCAGCAGTGCAAATAGCGTAACAGAAGTTGACATGCTCACTGTGGCATCTTGCATGTGATAAAGTCAGTAGGGCTGCTTTCCCATCGACACCGGCTACTCTTCTTGTGCTGGTGGAGTACTGGCATCAACGGGAGAGCACTTGGAGATTGATTTATCGTGTCTAAGCAGGCACAATACATTGACTAGTGGGTCAGTCGTCGCAGCGTTGATCCCTGGCATAATGGAGACAAGCCCTTATTATATGTAATACTTAGGGGCTGGTGTGGGGAACCTTTTTTGGGTTCGGCTGTGATTCCCAGCCAATGGGAATGCTGGGGGCAGTGCCTGCTATGAGTGTCCCCCTGCAGTGCGCAAAGCTGGAGCACCACTACGGGGAGTGGGGGAGGCAAGCCCCACATCTCATGAGTGGGATCAAGACAGATGGTATAGAAAGGGTCTGGGTGTCGAGAGATGAGGTTTGACAGGGCAGTCTGGGTGTGGGCACTTGGGGGGGGGGGGAATCTGGGAAGTGGAGCTTGATGGGGTGGAGGGATTCAGGTACAGCTGGTTGGGGGCTTGTAAGAGGATAGGGCTTTTTAGGGTGAGGGTTCGATGGGCCTGTTTAATGGAGGGACCCTAGTTGCTGCTGAGAGGATGCTTCATCTGGGCTCCTGCTTCCCCCGTGACTCCACAAACCCTTTTCTTCTCCATCCCCTCTCCTCACTCCCAAATTCCCATCGCCCTTCCCTATTCCACCCTTCTCCCACCCCTCTTGCCCAGCCAGCACACGGAAAGGGAACCCAAGTAACTAAGACCCAGAAGGCTGCGTTCAGCTGCAGAGTTGGAAGAGACTGCCTCCTTCAGCAGGGCACCTCTGTCCTTGCAAAAAATGGGGGGGAGGCAGTGGCACATCACCCCATGTGCCCCCTGTTCCTTGCCTCTGTTTGGAGGAGGCATGTCCCCCAAACCTGTGCACATTGTCATTTCCCTGTCCCTTCCTTCCCTTAGCCTCCTTCCACTTTCTGGAGGGAACAATAGTAAATCTGTGGGGGTGGACCTTTCCTGCAGGAGCACAGAATCCCCCAGGAGTAGCAGCAAATGTCCAAGACTTCTGTAGCTGTTAGCTACATGTCTACACACAGAAGTGGCCCTCAGCATGTTAGAGCTGCGTTGCATTTGAGCTGCTATGGGGAGTGAATTCTCTGTCACACTAGCTGGGCACCATTTATGCAAAACTGTTCTGTGGTGTGTTACTTGATCACTGTCCCATCTACAGATGCTGCTACTATTCCCCCCAGTGAAGTTCCTGAAAAAGTACAGAGTGTGGAGGACTTTATTCCAGAGGACAGCCTGGACCGCAGTTTTCTGGAAGATCCAAACCCTCAGAAAGACAAGGGGATACCAAGGACTAAGGACCACAATGAAAGTGACAGGTAAGGAGGAAAGAAACTGGGGTCGAGGAAGAGAAGCAGGATAGAAACAGCGCTTTTATCTTTACTAGCCTCCTAATTATCTTTCCGTACCCTTAGATCTGTATAACTAAACTTATCCATCGTCCTCCACCCCCCTCTTCCCTCACACACCCCTTCGTGATCACTCTGTCAGTAGTGTCACCCAGCTGTGCTGAGAGTAAGGGGAATTGAGGACAGGGTTGCCTTCATGCTGGGGCCTTCTCTTGCCCTGGCACATGTTTGCACCACTCCTGCCCCACAGCACAAGTTTTCTCCAACTTCCTTGCTGAATTAGATTCCAGTTCCTTCCCCTCTGTTTCTATAGCTCCTAAATGGAAGTGGTGGGAGGAGATTGTTTACACTCTGCAGGGGAAGGTACATAAGAGATCAGCCTCTGAGCTGAAAGCAGTACACTCAGAATTTGAAATAGTTTTCCCCACATGTCACTGAAGCTCATTATATGTATGCCGACCATACATCCCGGGACAGTCCCAAATTTAAATACGATGTCCCGGCATTCCCATCAAGTACTAAAATGTCCTGAAAAGCCCTGCCACATCCAGCTTGCAGAGAAGCAGCAAGTAGAAATGGCTGTGTGCACCACCATTTCCCTCCCCTACCCCCCCACAACCTGGCAGAGCTTCCCCTAGTGTGGCACAGCATCACCAGTTCTCCCCCTTCCCCCCCAAGCATGTAGGCGGTTCCCTGCCTTGGCACTTTGCTTTCGGGCAGCTGGGGTGGCTTCCAGTGGTACACGGTTTCCAGAGTTCCCCACGGTCCAGCGTGCCACCTGGCGAGCCACCACCACCACCTGCCTCAGCACCGCGCGGTCCCCTGCAGGACTGAATAGAGTTAGCTATGACAATGCATTTCTGAGTTATTCTGACACACAAAGTGAAACCTGTGCTAAAGACCCCACATCCAGTGAGAGAAAGCGCTGCTATCACAAGTCAATTCAAAGTCTCTCCAATTTTCTTCAAAGATCACCTCTACCAGGCAGTGGGGCTTTTACTGATTGGTCCCTTATATTTTTGAAGGGTGCCTAATGTTAACTGGATCTTCTTTAGTAATATCAACAGATTGCTTTGGGCCCAATCCTGGCTTAAAGTTTAAATTGGATCAGGCCCTTTGTAAGCAGGCTGGGAAGTGGTCTCATTTGGCAATTATTATTAGGTGGTATTTACATAATATAGGCATTGCCAACACGATATTGACATATACATTTCTCAGTAGCTTTACATATAAAATAGCCTAGCCCCACTGATCTCCACAGGAAATTTACCTTTCAAGCAGTGGTGGTGAGGGTTAGTGACATGGTCTTCTCCACCCTGTAATTGTCATGGTTAGTTCAGTATTGTCATTCTGACCTGTGGAAACAAAAGACACTTGATAGTTTTGCGGTAACTTCAAAAAATGCAGTTGCAGTCCATCCCATTAGGGATGTAAATTGCCATTGTTCAGTTAACCGGTTAATGTTAGATCACACCGGGGCTGCCACCAGCTCCCAGCCCCCTCTGGAGCAGCCCCTGTCCACAGCAAGCTGGACTCTCCACGGAGAGAGGCTGCTCTGGACAATGGTGCAGTCCCTGCCTGCAGGATCCCTGGATTCCCCACAGACAGTGGCTGCTCTGGACAAGAGTGACCCCTGTCTTCAGCGGGTCCTCTGCGGGGCTGGAGCGGCCCTCTGCCTGCAGCAGGTAGGGAGCTGCTGCAGCCCCTCTTCAATTACCAGTTAATTGGAAACAGTAAGCATCAGCCATTAAGAGGGCTATGGCAGTTGTCCCATGAAATTGTGGGACAGTTCTGGATGACTCCCAGGTCCTGAGTGAAATGGGGCTGCATCTACACTGCAAAGTAATAGGTCTCAGATCCTGGATCTCATCTTGGATAGAGGTTGGACCCCTAGCACTGCACTGTCATGGTACCCTAGGTCTGGGACCTGAGTTAATGCAGTTGCAGTATAGTTGCATGGGGGATTCCTATGGTGCCCAAACCCATCCCTATTGGTAGAGGATGGTGGGAGGAGTTCTTAGAGGGGTCACTTGACACCTTTTACTTCTGGTCATCTGTCCATCTTGACCCTGGAAGTACTACCTCCAGGGGTGGGACTTCCTGTGGCAGGTGGGCAGGGCCTAAAGGTTCAAGGGCATGGCTAATGTGTCCCCATTTTTGGTTCAGAAAATATGGTTACTGTAAATATGAGGGCCCTCACCAAGCATGTTCTTTGGGTTAATGTCAGCAGAGTTTGTCTTGCATCCCATCCTTCTCAAAGAGCAACCCTTACTTGGTGCATAGTGTGTACATGTAGGTGTATGTTAGCTCAGGATCAATGTAGGTGTGGCAGGTTACCAGGGGCTGTTGAGACTTACCCAGCTTGCTTATTTTTGCATCTTTGTGAGTTCCTTCCAACTGAAGAGTCAGTGCCCTAAGCTGATGCTAATTTGCATTGTCAGACGGTTGTTTGTATTGCAGCAATGATTTCTTTACACATTTTCATGTCCTTGCTTTGCTGTTAAGCTTCAGGTAGGTGATCTGTGTAGAAGCTAACAATGGGTCCAGTTTCTTTACATTTGCGTTGCATGTGGAGATGATCACTTTGCTCTACTGCTGTGTATTCAAGTCCTTTAGAGAGTGAGGTTTCTAGAACACATCACATCACCAGTAGCATATGAAAATAAAACCATGGGGCAGCATCGTTTCTAGGACACTTCCATTTTCTTTTTGATGCATTTCAAGGGGAAGTCCACTCCTGTTCCTTTTAGTGCTTAGAAACTTCTCTTTGAAAAGGCCTCACCTCTCCAAACCCTGTGCCATGTTTGAACTTGTTTTTGTGGGACTAGCCTGAGGTGATGCTGTGTCCTGGTATTTGAGAGATCAGAGTTCAGGAGACAATTACAGCCGTTTAGGAGTCTGGTGTGGTCTGAGAGCTGCAATGGCAACCTACTCAGCCTGGGGGACAGCATCTTCCTAATGCTCAGGAGCCAACACCTCCTAATGTTCAGGAGCCAACGATAAGCAAAAGCTTATCGGCTAATGCTATAGACTACATGCATTTCCCTCCCTTCCAGACCCTCTTGCCAGTAAATTTTTTAGCAAGTTGGCCAGGAGCACAACTCAGTCCTGGCTCATGCCGGATCTGAGACCTACCCCTTGCTGTGAATCTGAATTTAAAGTGTATTAAAGAGCCAGGTGGGCAGGCATCCCGGCTCAGTTCTGGCTCACTCTGGGTCTGGGAATTCATTCCTCCCTCGGACAGGGACCAGTGCCACCCTGCGCTGCTGCCAGCCCTGCCCCTAGAATAGTCGACTAATTAATAAGAATTCATGAGGTTAATTGACTGTTCAATTAACCAGTATTTAACATCCCTAGTCCTGGGTAGTCTGCCTCAGCTGGAGCATTGGTGGCTGCAGTGTAGTATTTAGAAAGCAGAGTGTCTCATTAGGACTCCAGAATGATGATCCAGTCAAATGTTCAGTTGAAATCAACTCTTAAGTGCAGTGTCAAATTTGAAATGAGTTCTCTCCATCATGCATGCTCCAAAGTACAAATTCATTATAAAGCGCACCTGGGAATGATAGGCTGTAAAAAATTTGTAAGAAAAGGCTGGGCAAGTCAACATGAAATCAGCCAAAGTCCTGTTCCTTTAGTCAGCACATGTGGCAGCTCTCACCATCCACAGCTGGTCAATCTCAGGTTGAGCATCGAATAGAGGGGATCAGAATGATGATGGACACCTATTAGAAAACCAGGTGGAAAGCCTGAGGGACCATTAGTCAGTCCCAGCTCCTTCTTTTAACCCTCTCAAATGTTAACCATGACATGCCATGAATGTTATTTTTTGTATTTGGAAGTGACGCCTTCACAGGAAGGTGAATGCTCTGTGTGGGTTGGACAACAACATAATATGTTGATCTATCAGGAAGCAAATGATTCTCTCTGAATAAAAAGTACTTAATAGAGAAAGTAGGTAGGATAAGGGATGGAAGTATGAAGCCTCCCGAGTTTAAATGATCAGGAATATAGGTTATTTTCATGTGAGCAGATCTTGAGGAAAGCATTAAAACAGCAGGTCCTGCAGAAATCAAGCGAAGCATTTCCAGTTTATAATTCTGCAGTGAAACTCCCTGTCCGGATGTCTGAGGGGGCATAACCTTGTTCAGTCGGGGGAGCCTTAAGGGCTTTCACACTCTTAAATGTGTTCTTAGGTTAATTTAATTTGGGGAATGTTCAGCATTGTTGTGGTGTCAGGATAGCTGCCTCCTTCAGGAAGCACTATAGAATAGAAGTAACACAAGGGAGCCAAATGCTGGAGGTAACGTCCTGCCACTCTGACAATACAGGATACTTTTGAATGGCAGGACATGAGGATTATGGCATGAAGTTCTTATTTTTTAATTGACTAATACCCTGGACAGTGTACTAGAAATGTTCCCATAAAGCCTTCGTTGAGATAGAAAGATATGAGGCAGCTGTGAGGCCTCACCTAACATGGTTGTACAAAACACACTTGCTACCTGCTGCGCTCTCTGCCTTCTCCTCCACCCCCAGTATAATCCATTGTGTCACTTAAGCTGTGATGGACCCCTGGCTCTGGTGATCAGGCACTGCCTGAGCTCCATGGCAGATCAGAGAGTGCACAGTCCTCTTCAGCTGACCCAGACTAACCACAGAGAGCCCTCAGAGACCCCAGTTGCATTATTTTGGCATACCAGCCCTACATTTGCATTCTGGAAGTAAGAGTGTGCACATCTGTATGTGCCCTGCAGAGTTTTAACACTTCTGTGTCTTACAGTGATGGGGAGGCTTTTGGAGGGAATCCCATGGTAGCTGGTTTCCAAGATGATCTGGATCTCGATGACAGAGTGCCCAGCAAACACTCACTGGCAACAGAACTTATACCAAGCAAAAATGTTATTTTGTCAAGTGAGGAGGAGACGGAAATGGAGGATGTTCCAGTCACCATCACGGCTGATGAAGACATTTACCTGGACCGAGAAGCACAATGGTATGAAGGAGTATAATCTAGTAGCTAAAGTGTGGAACTGGGGGTTGGGAGAGGTAGGTCTTTTTTCAGTCCTGCTATTGACTCTCTGTGACATTAAGCATCCCACTTAATAATATTGAGCCTGTTTCTTCAGTTGTAAAATGGGGCTGTCTCTGCCTTGCCTGGGGAGGCTGAAATTGCAGCAGCTCACAAACAGCACATTCTCTGATGGAAGGTGCTATTGAAATGCACAGAAGTATTGATCACCATCCAGATTAGTCAGTGTGATGAAACTGTAATGCACAGATGCCACCAAAGAGCTAACTTGATTGTCATTCCAAGCAATCCTTGCCCAGCGTGTGAGCACATCTTGAGGAGGGATTGGCCCCGCCTTCTTACAAAGTTTGAACAAGGGGAGTTGAGACATTTTTCATAGTGGGTGTGGCTGGGTCTCAAGCCTTGCTGCGTAGGGCACAGAGGGTTCTTATGATGCCTTCTGTGCAACAGCAAAGCAGCACATTGGCGTAAGGAAAGGCATTGCTACTCTTGCTGGAGAATGGAGCCCAGAGAATATTGTATAAATTGTGTGGAATGTGAAGTGTGCAGTCATTTAAATAATATAGCAGGGTTTGGCCCACAGTCAAATGCTTTAGTTTCGAGTGTCTGTGTTCTCAGAGACATCCAGGCTATCTTTCAGCTTTTGACTTACTGCCAGAAAGATTTCAGGGTCTGAATGCTGAGTATCAACTCTATAGGGCAGCGGTTCCCAACCGTTTCCAGATGGGGACCTATTTTGACAATTCAGGAAGAGTTGGTGACCCAGGGCAATTCAAAAATGGGGGGAGGAGGGAGGGCAGAGCCACCTGGGAAGACACTTGGTGACCCTTTTGAAATGTAATGGCGACCCATATTTGGGTCCCGACCCATAGGTTGGGAAACCCTGCTATAGAACCTCATCACTGCTTACGTGCAGATTAGAGAAATCCCATAAATTCCACTTACTGGTGAGTTACTGTTAGTCACTTTGCTTTACTTGTGCAGTTCAAACCAAACCACAAAATTAAAGAGACAATATCCTGAATGCGACTAGGTCCACTTTTTTCCTCTTTGTTCAGTCCACTTCCATGCTCCAAATTCCTTGGAAGCAAGTATCAGAGGGGTAGCCGTGTTAGTCTGAATCTGCATAAACAACAAGAAGTCCTGTGGCACCTTATAGACTAACAGATATATTGGAGCATAAGCTTTCATGGGCAAAGACCCACTTCATCAGATACATCTGACGAAGAGGGTCTTTGCCCATGAAAGCTCATGCTCCAATAAATCTGTTAGGGTATGTCTACACTACAAAGTTAATTCGAACTAACAAACGTTAGTTCGAATTAACTTTGATAGGCGCTACACATACAAACCGCTAGTTTGAACTTAATTCGAACGAGTGGAGCGCTTAATTCGAACTAGGTAAACCTCATTCTACGAGGACTAACGCCTAGTTCGAATTAAGTAGTTCGAATTAAGGGCTGTGTAGCCACTTAATTCGAACTAGTGGGAGGCTGGCCCTCCCCAGCTTTCCCTGGTGGCCACTCTGGGCACCACCAGGGAAACTCGTCTGCCCCCCTCCTGGCCCCGGAGCCCTTAAAGGGGCACGGTCCGGCTACGGTCCCCGTGCCAGGGGCCAGCCTGCCAGCACCCAGCCAGCAGACCCTGCACCTGGCACGGCACGAGCCAGCCACCTGCTGCCACCCAGCCCTCCTCCTCTTCCCGGGACCAGGCTGGCGGCTCCCGGGAGCCTGCCCGGGGCCGCAAGAGGCGGGCGCCCCCCTGGTCTAGTGCAGAGATCGTGGACCTCATCCACGACCTCTGCAGTAGGCACAGGAAAGTGGCCATCTAGGGCAGGAGAGCTGCCAGCCTGGCCACCTAGGAGCAGGTTTGCATGAAAATCAGGGGGGTCTATTGAGACCCCCGACCCTGAGCTTAGAATGGCCGTACTGGGTCAGGACTTCTCATTGTTCTTGGAGGCATGGTAGTCCTGCCTGGGTTTAAATCATTCTGTGTGTCTCAACTCTTGATTTTTCTCTCCCACACAAAGAATGCAGGCAAGGAATCTATATCCAATTCAAATTTCATTCTTCTATCTCGGCTCCCGGCTCCCTGACCAACACCTTTGCTAGTTACCTGAGTTTAACCCCTTATTCGCCAGATGCTAGTCAGCACTTCTGTCAATTAAAACCCACATTCCTCTTTACTTTCCAGTGCTGCCTCTTTGGGAAGATCTGAACATGAAAATATTCATCTGTATGAAACCGGTTTCTAACAAAATCAGCTAGTTATGCTTCCTCCTTTCCTTATGACCAGGGAGGCCTCAACTATAATGGAGACAAAAGTTAATCCAATATTAACATTCTAATGCTCCTGCCGGTATCTGGCAGATCCATGCATCTTCCTTACTCCAGTGGTCTGACCCTCTGAAACAGCCCATTTGGTGCAGCTTAATTGTGTGATGCAACCCCTGCTGATGGGTCCAAAGTGAATGTATCTCTTTGTTTCCCTCACAAGCAGGCTCCTTGTGACTGAGTGGTCTCATAGTCCTTGCACAACTGGGATGTTCTGGGAGAGTTCCAAGCTCACCCTTTTGTGGTTAAGAGTTATAGCTGACAACTTGTTTCCTTTTTTTAAAGGTCCTGCAAAAATTCAGTGAGACCTCAAAAGGAAGCAGCTTCCACTAAAGCACCTGACCAGATGCCACCAGGCAGCTTACCTCTGCATTTTGGATCCGAGAGAAACAGCAGCACAAAGCTCCCCACAGATCTGCCAGCCACTGGAACTGCTGCTCCTACAGCTGCAGCATCAGTCCAGGTACAAGGGACTACTTCCCAGAACAAGGACTCAGTTTCCAAACCAAAGGGAAGCAAAGAAGAAAAGCCAGTGGAGTCTGACAGCGATCGGGAGGGACCAATAGCCACTCAGATGCTCTCATTTGTGATGGATGACCCGGACTTTGAAAGCGAGGAGTCTGACAGCCAAAGGAAGAAAGTGGTAAATAAGCTCAGCCTAGAGCAACAGTGGAATGATGAGCACTCTTGTCTGATCTCCCAGTATCCCAAAAGCAGCAACTTCAGGTTAAGAGCTAGAAGATCTGAAGAGCATTATTGGTCAAATATAGACCACTAATGATCTTCTCATGGTTGAAGTTGAATGGTGGCATGGCTCACAGTTGCAGTTCTATGTATACAGATTATTTTCAGCAACTGCAGATAAGCATGGAGCTCAGGCAGCCATATGGAACGTGTGAAACCCAAAAGCTGAGGATTTTTCATCTGGAGTTTGGTGTCCTAAAGCGGAGGGAAAAAATGGGGAAAGGGAAGGGACAGAGTGAATGTGTATGTAGAGTTCCTTGATTTTAACCCAAGAATTAACAGGGCATGGTGAAGTTCAGCATTGAATGCTTACTTGGCAAAGCCTGTTGAAGCCCCAAATGCCTTGAGAGTGGTAGTCCAACAGACAGCTAAAGTTGGGGTAGCCACAGCATGTCCTCAGCATTCACAAGGCTACAGCTGCACAACTTCACTATAGATACAAACTGCAAAGGTTGCCCTGAGAGAAGGAAGCCCCTGGCATCTCTCCTGGGTCTTCCTCCATATTAAACACTAGAAGACTTACCTGGTATTACCTGGGTCCTTCAAGATAAGGAGCTGGCACTGTGTGTGGGGGGGGGGGGGAAGGTGCAGGAGTCAGGGCAGGGCCTTGGGGATGCAAGGAGGGACAGGGTAGGAGATTGGGGCCTGGAAAGGATGTGAGAGTGAGGGTTAGGGCGTGAGGAGGAGCTCAGGGCAGGGCATCCCATTCAGTGGAGCTTTGTCCCCAACCATGAGGGGCCTTCTCTCCCCGCTTCTCGGTGCTGCACTAAAGGGTGTGGGGTAGGCGGGCTACTTACCCAGTGTGGGGGCAGGCAAGACGGCAAGTCCCAGACCTTGTGGTCACTCTCTTGCTTGTGTGGGTGCTCCCCAGTGGGTACTCTGCATATAGCGCTCTCCTGTGGGTTTGTTGCCCCCAGTGGCCAATCTTTCTATGCTCCTTCCTTTCCATATTATGGAAAACAGTTCCATGCAAGGCACATCCCATTTTCTTGGAACAACCAAACCCTGACCTTGCTTTAAGTTAGGAGAAGAGGAAGCCGCCTACTAAATTTGGTGGTCCTAGCTTTTACTGTTTTGGAGGCGTTCTTGAAGAAACAGACTCATAAACGGACAGACAGATGCACATTTCTAAAAAAATAGATGAGGGTATTCAGTGAATTCTTTGGGATCTTAGCAGTTTGCTACTGTGGCTTTTACTTCATAAATTCTGGGTGTCCCTGCCTTAGATAGTTCACAGTTAGAACCATTAGGCCCATTTGCACAGAAACAACTAGCCATGCTTTTATGTGGAAAGAAGCCCTTGTGCTTGCAGACAAGGGCTGTGTAATGAGCCAGGAAGTGTAGAGAGCTCCTATAAAGTTGGTTTGATGTGTTCATCTTGCTCCTTGGTTGTATGGGGAGCATCAGTATCTTAGTTTCTGCATGTCCTTGGCCGTGGATCGTACTGGTCTCATTTAGTAACACTCCATTCCAAGCATTTCATTTCTCAGCAAGGTTATGACTCCATGTTCCGGCTTACACAGCAGGATTTGCTGGGAAGTGCTGCAGTGTCATGGAAATATCCCTCCATAGAAAAACTCTTTTGCAGGGCAGTGTGTGGCCAGGTTGAGCAGGGAAAGCAGCTGTGCCCCCCTCCAGGAACAGAGAGAGGCTTCATGCAAGGCTGGAAAGGCAGTTCGGCAAGAGGCGGGTCACATTTGGCTTAGTGGTAGGAGTCCCGTGAGGGAAAGAAGTTAATTCCTTTCAGTATCAAGTGGCAAACCTGGTGAGACCAGGACAGGGGCATAGCTTTCTTCTTTCCCCTCTTGCATGGTGAGAGGAGCCTTCTGAGGCTTTACATGGCCCCTGCAAATTCCCAGCTTTTAGCCTCTATCACAGGAGATGCAGTTCCCTCTTTCCTTCAACGGAGGGGTTTGCTCCAGTCCAGTGACATGCTTTCCCTGCCTTTTGACCCCACGTGGCCCAGATTTCCCTCTGTGACTATGCCAGGGCACAGTATAGGTTTGAGCCTGTTGTATTTGAAGGTTTTCCATTAGAGTAATTGGTAAGCCTGATGCAGCTGCGGATCATGTTTAATCCCACAGCACCGAGAGTCTAGCCTTTTCAGCCCAAATGTTAGCACCACAGGGAATTTCACCCCAGAGCTGCGGTTCCAGTGCTATCTGGGCAATTCCAGCATGGAATGAAATCCTGAAACTAACTCAGTTCTGGGGGTAGTAGAACCCTTTCAGAGGCCAGAAATGTATCCTAAGTGTAGGGGAAATGGGGATTTGCTTGAGTGATCAGTTTATACTCATTGGTAGTGAAGATTGGGTACATGATGTCTTTTATTCATTCTCTAGAGTGAGTTCCCTGTCCGAGAAGACCCCTCTGATGTCTCCGAGGAAGACACCTCTTTGACAAAGCCTCCACAGCTCGTGAAGTCTACAATTCGCTCCTTCAAGCTGAAGAATAACTCTGATCTCTTTGGCTTGGGTTTGGAAGAAACAGGCCCCAAAGGGACCAGTGACGAAGGTAAAAGTTAGGTGGTCATATGTCTGAGCTGCTGGATTTTTCATTGTCCTGAATAGGTCCAATGTTAAATCAATTTTGCATTAGATAAAGCAACCCCAACTTGACCCAGCTGTGCATCCTATGTGAGCATGTAATGAGCTTTGACAAAGCATAATTAACTTTCACTTTCTCTCACCTCTGCCCTGACTAACCTCAGCCGGGGAAGCCCTTGCTCTTGTCTTGGGAAGACTGCTATGCTTTTTCCTGCCCTGCTGGAAGCAAGAGCACTTCTTGGGAGCCTTTTCTGGAGATTTTCTGTCCAACTTAGCATGCTTAAAAATCGGTACCCAGTGCCATGGTACTGGAGCATGAAGGGCTTGGAGTTGTGCATTTGTTGTTCCAAGTCTGAGCACTTGGGGCTATTGCTAACTGTCACTTTTTAGGAATGGTGTATGTGGAGCAGTAGGTCTAGCATGCTGGGTATTATTGTAGATCCTCCCCATCCTGAGATCCAATCAGAGCTTATACAGCGAGGTTTCTGTGGTTGTATTGGTGTTACCACATCGCTGCTGCCTGTTCATCTGCTTGCAAAGTAAATGGAATGATGAAACATTAAAACTGCAGGAATGGGGAGGGAGCTGTAAAAGGTGTAGAAGGGATTTGACATTGATTAGTTCTAAAATTATAACTAAGATGTCAAAACCTATCCAAGCTCCATCAGCCTGTTATCTTCTGTATCAGCATCACCCAGCTGGCAGGGACTCACTCTCCAGAGGCCACAGTCAGTAACTCACATTTCATTTAGTGCTTTTAACCCTTTGACTCCCGTGAACCTGTGCTTCCCACTTATGTTTGGGTCTGATGAATTACTGACAATGATGGAAGAGACCAGGTGTCATATCCGTTGGTGCTGACCTATGAGGTATAAGTGACTTGAGTGGACAAAATTGCACTTCAGTGACTGTTTTCTCCTCTATAGTGGGGGTAGGTAACTGCTTACCTGCCCCATGAGATCCATTCTGTCAGCCCCTTTGTTCAATGCATATACAGTGCCAGAAGGGCAGAAGGTGAAATGATCTAGTCTTGTGGTGCTATCGGTAAATGGGCATATCTTTCAGAAGTTCAAGTCATTAACAGCCTCAGTTGTATCAAAATTGATGATGCCTTTAATGTCTTCCGCAGCATTACAACTTGATGCAAAACTGTCTCTGTGAATTTTCTCAAGGTCTCTTGTAACAATAAAAATATCAGACTTAATATATTATTTCAGAGTTAGCCTGATCAATCTGATTAGCTTCTATGGTGAGGCTCTGTGGACGTGGGAAAATCAGTGGATGTGATATACCTTGACTTTAGCAAGGCTTTTGATATGGTCTCCCACAATATTCTTGCTAGCAAGTTAAGACAATGTGGATTGGATAAATGGACAGTAAGATGGATAGAAAGATGGCTAGAAGGCCGGGCCCAGCAGGTAGTGATCAAAGGCTCGATGTCAGGATGGCGGTTGGTTTCTAGCGGAGTGCCCCAAGGTTCAGTTCTAGGTTTTGTTCAATATCTTTATTAATGACCTGGATGAGGGGATGGATTGCACCCTCAGCAAGTTTGTGGATGACACTAAGCTGGGGGGAGAGGTAGATACGCTTGAGTTATGCTCTTCTTTATACAGGAGATAAGCAATCACCCCCTACACCGGAGGAGGAGAAGCCCCATACCTCCAAGGCTGGGAGGTCTGCTGTCACCACTGCGAATAGGAAACGTAGGGTAGTGGTGGTTGGAGACTCTCTTCTGAGGGGGACAGAGGCACCCATCTGTCGCCCTGAAATTTCATCTCGGGAGGTATACTGTCTGCCGGGGGCCCATATCCGAGATGTTATGGAGGCATTGTTGAGGATTATCTGGCCCTCTGACTACTACCCCATGCTACTCATCCATGTGGGCACAAATGATACTGCGAGGTGTGACACTGAGGCTCTGGGAGTATGGGTGAAGGAGTCTGGAGCACAGGTGGTATTCTCTTCGATCCTTCCTGTCGAAGGTAGGGGCCCAGGCAGAGACAGGGTGCATCCTGAAGGTGAATGCCTGACTGCGAAGATGGTGTAGCCAGGAGGGCTTTGGCTTCCTCAACCATGAAATGCTATTACAGGGATGGCGTTCACCTTTCGAGGAGGGGGAAGACCCTATTTGGACACAGAATAGATAACCTAGTGAGGAGGGCTTTAAACTAGGTTCGACAGGGACAGGTGAGCAAAGCCCACAGGTAAGTAGAGAACATGGAGAACTGGGACATGGGTCGGAAATGGGAGGTAGCGTGGGCTACAATGGCAGAGAGAAAGGAGGGTCAGGGCAAAACTGGGAGGAAAGGTCAAATCAGGATCTTAGATCCCTATATACAAATGTGAGAAGCATGGGAAATAAGCAGAAAGAACTGGAAGTGCTAATAAATAAGTACAATTATTACATTGTTGGCATCACAGAAACTTGGTGGGATAATACATATGATTGGAATGTTTGTATAGAAGGGTACAGCTTGCTCAGGAAGGACAGACAGAGAAAAAAGGGAGGAGGTGTACATTAAAAATGAACACACTTGGTGTGAGGTAGAGATGGACATAGGAGACGGAAGTGTTGAAAGTATTTGGGTTAGGCTAAAAGGGATTAAAAACAAAGGTGATGTCATGCTAGGAGTCTACTGCCTGCCACCTACCCAGCTGGAAGAAGTGGATGAGGCTTTTTTAAAACAATAAACAAAATCATCCAAAGACCAAGATTTGGTGGTGATGGGGGACTTCAACCATCCAGATATATGTTGGGAAAATAACACTGCAGGGCACAGACTATCCAATAAGTTCTTGGACTGCATTGGAGACAACTTTTTATTTCAGAAGGTTGAAAAAGCTACCAGGGGGAAGCTGTTCTAGATTTGATCCTAACAAATAGGGAGGAACTGGTTGAGAATTTGAAAGTGGAAGGCAGCTTGGGTGAAAGTGATCATAAAATCATAGAGTTCACAATTCTAAGGAAGGGTAGAAGGGAGAACAGCAAAATAGAGAAAATGGATTTCGGGAAGGCGGATTTTGGTAAGCTCAGAGAGCTTAAGGTCAAGACTGAGGGAAAAAACAACCAAGGAGAGTTGGCAGTTTTTCAAAGGGACATAATTAAGCGCCCTAAAGGAAGCTATTCCGCTTGGTCAGAAAGAAAATATGGCAAAAGACCGCCTTGGCTTAACCATGAGATCTTGCATGAACTAAAAATATAAAAGGAGTCATATAAAAAATGGAAAGTAGGACAAATTACCAAGGATGAATATAGGCAAACAGCACAGGAATGCAGGTGCAAGATTAGAAAGGCAAAGGCACAAAATGAACTCAAACTAGCTACGGGAATAAAGGGAAACAAGGAGACTTTTTGTAAATACATTAGAAGCAAGAGGAAGACCCAAGGAGAGGGTAGACCCACTGGTCAGTGAGGAGGGAGAAACAGTAACAGGAAACTTGGAAATGGCAGAGATTCTTAATGACTTCTTTGTTTCGGTCTTTACCGAGAAGTCTGATGAAGGAATGCCTGACATAGCGAATGCTGGTGGGAAGGGGGGAGGTTTAGAAGGTAAAATAAAAAAAGAACAAGTTAAAAATCACCTAGAAAAGTTAGATGCCTGCAAGTCACCAGGGCCTGATGAAATGCATCCTAGAATACTCAAGGAGACGATAGAGGAGGTATCTGAGCCTCTAGCTATCATCTTTGGGAAATCATGGGAGACAAGAGAGATTCCAGAAGACTGGAAAAGGGCAAATATAGTGCCCAT